AACTTTAGACGATCATCCTTGTAAATTCAATAAAAACTTATAGTGACTACTGGGAAAGAAATTTAAAATTAGTTATAGATTTCATTATCATCATCATTATCATTAGAGCATTTCATAAGTCCACTGCTGAACATAGGCCTCCCCCAAGGAATGTCACAAAGCACGACCATGAGCCAGCTGCATCCATCGACTTCCTGCATGTCTTACCAGGTCGTCACTCCGTCTTGTGGGGGGTCGCCCTACACTTCGCCTACCGGTACGAGGCTGCCACTTCTAGATTTACTGTTTACAAAATGTAAAATTTTAAATTTATAAATAACCTAGCGACCCGCCTCGGCTTCGACTGGGTTAAGATTTCAGACAATCATCAAATCAACCATTGATTCTAACAATTTTCCCCCCCTTTAGAAGTAAGTTTTCTTAACTCCTGTGGTATAACCTACTTAATAAAAGAAGAATCATCAAAAACATACGCGGAAAAAAATACAAAACGTTCTCGAACTTGAACCCGGTTACTCGTATAAATATTTTCATCTATCTAAATATTTTCGTCACTAAAAGTGTCATCACTCATCATCTATACACATATTATAAATAAAATGTCTGTAAAATTGTAATAAATGGCTTTTGTTAATCTCCTGGAGTTACTTGCATGCTATAAAGACATAAAAACCATTTTTAAATTTTTTGTCTGTCTGTCGTTGTCTGTGTGTCCGTCCGAGCTTATCTTCGGAATCGCTAAACAAATTTTTATGAAACTTCATGAACAGATCAAGATTACTCCTAGCATTGCAATTCCAGGAGTTACCTTGGCTGTAGGTACTCGTATTTTATCCGAAAAACTGGAGCTTTTATTTTTGAAAAAAAAAAAATTGTAACACAAATTGTCTTTGATTATCTGAAATCTAAACATCACATTAATGGATCCTAAACAAGCGGTCCTTATACATAATAAACCTATGTTTATCATCAGATCGTCACTTTATCTAGTTGTTGCCGAACACTACGCTTTCCCGTACGATGCTGCCACTCGAGAACCTTTCTTTAACATCGCTATACGCAGACATTTGATGGATGCACGTAGCTCAGGACCGTACTTTGTGGCAATCAATTTTTTTGTAGGATGAAGGTTACAAGCGAGCACACAGTTCACATAATATTAAGTGGTTGCTGTGGCCCATAGACATCCACATCCATCCTCGTTTGCGAATAAAATGCAGATGCGTTGACAACCGTGATGACTAAGATGGAATGCCTCTTTTCCAGTAAAAAGGGTCTCTGGTTCTCTACACTCACCAAACGAAACACAGCAGCATTAAGCTACCATTTAACGCCAGTATTCTGTGAGAGTGTCGTCCTTCCCTGATACAGCCGAACCATTCGTGCTTCAACTGTACTATTAATATAGCTGTAGTATGGGTATCATATGACCGGGTGATAATTCTATGGGGGAGGTCTAAGTTCAGCAGTGGATTTGTGATGGGCTGTAGTGATGGTGATAGTGTGATGAAATTAAATAATACATACATTTAATATGTATGTATTATTTTAATGTAATGTTTTTTTTGTAAAATACATACTCATATTTTTTTTAAATACGTGTTTGTATTGCCAAATCTAATTCTGAGACGGCTCCGTGACGGAGTGGCTTAGCAATGAGTTGCTGCACTGGGGGCCGCGGGTTTTAATTCCGCACGGAACAAGTATTTGTATGGCCTACAAATAATTGTTCCGGGTCTGGATGTTTGTCCTTGTGCAATTTGTGTTTGTAAACTGCCTCCACGATACAGGAGAAAATCCTAGTTTGGGGGTAACGTTTTTAAAAAATAATGAAAATGATATGTTTAAAAATTCCAAGCGTAAATAATAAACGCAGAACATCGTAATTATTTTCTTAAATTCTTTTTCTGATATACTTTGTATAATTTTTTTTTTAATATTTTATAGCAAAAACTATCTAAACTACACAAAACAGTGTAACATCGTTTCCAATTTACATTTACCTAAGCATCCCGCTGCGTAATCGAGCACTCGCCTTTCATCGGCCTCCTTAATGAGGCAATCCCATTGTTGTACCCGGACAGACAATGTGACCCGTGACGTATTGTGTAGCGATAAATGATTTGCATTGTGCTTTACTGATTTATTACTAACTAGTTTACGATTACATACACTTTGTTATTCAATATGCTAGTTCTGTTGAAAAGGTTTATTATTAAAACTATTTTTATAATGATTCCTTATATTTACGCGGACACTATGCATTAAATAGACTGCATTTATCGATTTCGTCACGTTAAATTTTACTTATTTTCATTATAACGTTAGTTATAACTAAAACTAAGAAAAATTCTTTTTTTTTAGTTCAAAACTTAGAAGGTTATACGCGGCGCATATATAATTTTTGGAACGAAGTTCCTTAACGGACAGACATTTGGCAGATGGGCGCTAGGCGAGAAAAAGTGTAAGATTTTGCCGTCACGACCCCTTCTGACGTAGTGTGGACGGCCATGGCGGCTATAAGGAAGCGAGATGGAATAACATCCATCTCCCTCGCACTTTTTCTTATCATGCCATGAAAGAAATATTAATTTATTTTAAAGGAAGCTTCATTTTAATAGACGCTATACATACACGTTTATCAATAATAATATACTACGAAAGGTACTTCGTTCCAACCGAGTGTTCCACGGCACTCACGCATTTTTTTATGTATGTTGACCAATATACGGAAATAATAATTAACATAATATATAATGTTTCCTATGGAAGCAGTTAATTTATTATTAAAATCTTAAGTAATTAGAAGAAAATTTAAGTATGTAATTGGTAGTGCATAAAAAAAAAACAGTAGCTTACAATTGTTCCTTAAGTTTTGCGCTGTTCTTCACATTGAATTCTTTGTAAATTAAAAAACAAAATGATATGTAATTGTAGTAATAAACCATCATCAAGCTGTTCAGATATTCCCAATTACCTGTATTGCCTGTGTTCCGCCACCCATATCTCCCGATCAGCATCAAATGAAGACACACTGCCTCCAGTAGATATATAATGACCCTATCGTCTAGCAGACGGTGTTATTTCATATTAGACGTTATCCTGGACGAACATTACGTAGACAAACGACTTTCATTACTGCAGGCCTTAACTGGGCCACTATTATATCTCAACGTTGCTTCAAAGGATTTATTGTTTGTCTTTTCGGTGGGCGTATTGTTTTGGTACCCACTATTGTGTTATGATATCTGTGGTATCTTGCTGCTGATGCATTTTTTTTTGAAATTGTTCTGTTTTATCACCAACTAGTTAAGTAAACTACCAGTTCAGGTTATTTAAAGAAATCATTTTTAAAATATATTTTATACATATTTATTGTTGGCAACATTATTTTTAAAGGCCCTCCCTGGTTTCACTGGGTGTGGGTTCTATAAGGTAGCGTTGTTAAGATTGTTTAAAATATTCATCGATGATCATTTTAGTTTTATTAATTTTCTCATTTTACAAAAAAATTCTATAAGCTATATATATCAGTATATATATAAAACTTGGATCACTCGTGGCATTACTCTCTATCTGTCCGTTAAGTTTATTCATGTAACACTGTGATCTCGATAAAAGGAAGTTATTTTGATATTAGAGACAGACACTTTAATTTTGTGTACAGATTAGGCGTTAAATATTGCTTTTACCGTTTGGTAGCGGCGTAAAATCTTTTCTCATCCCTTGGCTGACGTAAGTCGATCTTGACAAATTCTAGGAAGATTTACGCCTTCGATAGACTGAAGTGTAAGCATCTTATTTTAATATGTAACCTAGATCATTTGGTAGCTAACAAGATCAAAGGGACGAAACGTTATGTAGGTAGTGTAATTCTCAATCCATCCGCGAAGCATGACGATCACAGAAAATCAGTCTTACATTTTTTATAGAATAAAGATGACAAACGAGTTCACATTCCACCCGATGGTCGATGGTAATAGGATGCTGTGGTCCATAGACAGTTACGGTCCCTGATATCTTAGATGGAATGCCTCGTTACCAGAAAAAAGGGCCTCCGGGCACTCACCATACGTAATACAGCAATATTAGCTGCTATTTAACTGGTGTTCTGTGAGAGCGTGGTCCTTCCCCGGTCGAGCCGATCCATTCGTGTTACAACTACATAGCTGTGCATGCAGCTCTGCTTCGTACTTTAACACGTGCCATTCATTAAAAAAAAACAATTAAATAATTTATTTTACTTTAAAAATTACGACTTTTCTTTCCACTAAATTGTCATTAAGGGCGTCGTCGAAGTAAAATTACCAAATACCTACACGTTACTGCATACGCCCCACACAAAGCTCCAGCGATGCACTCGCCACAAATTGAGTTACAAAACGATTCTTTCCCTAGCCGCTCGAGTACGCCTCTCAAACTTCCACAAAGAGAGATTTTTTGTTGGCGCAACAAAATAATGGTTCTATTCTTGGCGGTCAAAGACTCGACGATGTCACGAGTTTGTGGGATATTCGCGTATACACTTTGAGTCTGCCTGCATCGCGATGGTAAATTAGATATCGTTTATTTTTATAGGACCCGTTCCACTTTCGTTAACGAGAATTTTTCTATAAGATGGCAATAAGAAGAAATGAATAGAAAATTATTTTCTTAATTTTTTTATATGATAGGGTGACCAACGAGTACACAGTCCACCTGATGATAAGTGGTTGCTGTGACCCATAGACATCTACATCTATCCTCGTTTGCGAATCAAAATGCAGATGCGATATCACCCGTGAGGACTAAGATGAAATGTCTCTTTTCCAGTAAAAAGGGTCTTTGGTTCTCTATACTCACCATACGAAACACAGGAGTTTTAAGCTGTTATTTTACGCTGGTATTCTGTGAGAGCGTGGTCCTTCCCCGGTCGAGCCAACACATTCATGCTACAACTATACTACTAATACAGCTGCAGCATGTCTCTACCACGTATAAAGTATGATGAGAGAAATTTAATGAGCAATAACAATTTTTTTATGTTAGAAATAATACAAAAAAAATTAAATAGTCAACCTGGCAAGTATTCCATCCATTACAGCCTATAAAATTCTACTGCTGAACACAAGCCTGCCCCATATATTGCCACATAGGAGGGATTTTGCCTTATTTGTATTACATCATATACGCAACCGTAGTTTGTTTTTATTTAGAGTTATTATCAGGAAGAAGATGCTGGACATCTCCTGTTTCAGTTTCCCTCTGTTGTCTCTTACAATACTCAGTGGACGATAGGTAGTAGATCACCTTATTAATGCATTGGGGCCAGATTGCAAGAGTATCTCCACTCCTCTCCATCACTTTAATTCACCCCGATATTGAAAATACGTAATACAATTGTAGATGCCCACGTCTAGCAGTGGTCTATTAAAAATGATAAAGAAAAAGGCATGAAATAAACTGTAAATAAAAACTATGTACAATCAAGTGTTGCCACTGCTGAGGTTAAAGTGGCTCCCTTATATTGTTGTTGGCATTTAATTTCCATCACATACGACGAACTCAAATGCGTTTTTGAGTAGAAAAATTTGCGAACAACTAACACCATCATGTACAAAAATATGTAGGCTGTTATATAAGCATTTTTTAAAGAAATACTGTATTTCCTACACTCTACAGAATACAATATAGTGACTACACAGAAGTGTAGTCTTACTAGAATGAGTAACGACATAGTAAGAAATGCAGGACCAAGGAAGGCGATGGATACAGGTGGCTCAGGACCGTGCTTTGTGGAATTCTTTAGAGAAGGCAGCAGTGTACTTGTGAAGGTAATGAAACTGCTAGTGAGTAAATTTTACAATGTTTACAATTCCAGCTTTTTTGCTAGTGGACCGTAAACCGTTGAGATGATTTGGATGGAATTTCGGTTTCTGTAATTATTTTATCGTGGAGAAACAACGAACAATACTCTGAGCACTCCCCGTGGTATAAAAGATAAAAGTCCCCGCTTATGACTCCAATAATATGTAATTAAAATTACAGTTTCAGCTAATCTTTGACATTATTTTGAAGCAATATTTTTTTATTAATTACATCTTAATTATTTCTTATATTTACGCAAACACTACACATTTAAATAAAACTAGTTATACGGATTTTATCGCGTATATCAACTTATTTTATATTCCCGACAAATTTATAATTTTTAATGTGGAGGTGGCCGTGGTTAACTATGACATTAGGACATCAAACACCTCAGCCCCCCCCCCCCCCCCCCCCCGGTGACCACGGGTGCTGTAAAATACTCGAAACGTCCGGAATATAATATAAGTTAATATACGCTATAAAATCCGTAATACTAGTTTTATTTAAATAAACACAACTTTTCTCCTTCAAAGTTCATGTCAATCAACGTTCAGAAAGTTGATTAGGATAAAGGAAAAAATAATGTCGTCTCTTTGTTAAAGTTTGAGCAACAGCCGCTGTCAGTGGCAGCAGGTGATGTTAGCTCATGTTCGTTACGCTGGTTCATTACGACCGCCCTCAAGGGTAAGGGTGGGTTTGATATTCCTCTGTTCCTATTGTATTACCGGCCTCGCTACAGATTTTATATAAAAAAAATCTCTCTCTTAATCTATAACTGTGGCGTAAATTCACAAAGAGTATTTCGGCTTTGTAAAATGTTAGATCGTGCGATTTTTTTTTAATTATACCCAGACATAATTTTTGATATTTGCAAGTTTAGGAATGACAACACTGATTGCGATAGATCGAATTTAGCTTTGAAATATGAGGACGCCAAAATTATTATTCATATTTTTTGATTAAATACTTTTAATTTTTATGTTAGAAATACAAGTGTATTTGTTTTATTAATAAAATAAAATATATGTGAAAAAGTACACAAATCACAAAAATGAAGATAAAGTTTCAATAATTAATTACAATCGCAAGTATAATTTATACTTGGCAATGTAGTTGTAGCGTTTAATTATCTTGTTTTTACTATGACTTTAAAAATTCGATATATTTCACAAATGCATTTTTGATACTTTAAACATCCCAATTGTAGTTAGTATGTAGTTTATAGATATATTAAAGTAGAGGGTATGAATTAAAGAGGAAACGGCGATTAGAATTGGGAACGTAGTTGTATTCACACACGATTTTGTGTGCGTGCGTGTGTACATAATATTTTGTGTGGCTGTGGGCGTAACGTGCTACGATGTGTGCGCCTGCTTCGTTGATCGTGGAGTGTTTTCAAGTGAAAGTCCTATTGCTCACAATATAATAAGTTATTATTTTGTTAATACGTGAACATCAAAAACACATAATTTTTCAATACAAAACACCTTAACAAGTTAAGACCAGTACAAGACTAAGTTAAAGTTAAAATTAGTCTTTATACGTCCTCGTGTTGGGCTCAGTCCTTCTCTCATTTCTGCGAGGGTTTTTAGGATAAGGAATGTTCGCTGTGCTGCCCCAATGCGTGATCGATACTACAAACATGTTATTTTTATTTAAGGCCAATATTCGCCCTCTCTGGCCCAACTAATGACTACCGGTGTGATCGATTTAAGTCGCGGCATAATATTCAAGTAACAAGAAGATAGGACGAGGAGCCGTTCTTGCAAAAGGTGGTTTAACTTTACTTTTGCTGAAGTGGCAATGGGCCGGCCATATAGCTCGAAGAACCAACAACCGATGGCGAAAAAAGGTTCTCGAGTGGCTGCTTCGTACCGACGAAGTGTAGGGCGTCGCCCCAATAGATGGAGTGACGACGTGGTAAAACATGCAGGAAGTCGATGGATGCAGGCGGCTCAGGACCGTGGTTTGTGGCATTCCTCGGGGGAGACCTATGTTCAGCAGTGGGCTTGTGAAGGGCTGTAATGGTGATTATAATGATGAATAAAAGTTAACATAATATAAAGCGCACACTCTCGTTCTAACCTGCGCCTCGGTTGAGAATCAAAATGCAAATATATTGTCACCCCTGAAAGGATAAAATGTTTTATTAACAGTCTCTGGTTCTTGTTTATTATCTTACAATGTAACGCTGGTATTATGTAATAGCATTAATCTTTCTCTGTTCAAGTCGACAATATTTTTTTATAGAATAAGGATGACAAACGAGCACACAGTTCACTTGATTGTAAGTGGTTGCTGTGGCCCATAGACATCTACATCTATCTTCGTTTGCGAATTAAAATACAGTTGCGTTGTCAGCCGTGAGGTCTAAGATAGAATGGCTCTTTTCCAGTAAAAAGGGTATCCGGTTCTCTACACTTACCATATAAAACACAGCAGCATTAAGATGCTATTTTACGCTGGTATTCTGTGAGAGCGTGGTCTATCGCCGATCGAGCCAACCCATTCGTACTAGAATACTATTAATATAGCTGCAGCATGGCTCTACTACGTTGGATAATTCATGCAGAGCTAAAATATAGTAGATATTGGTGAGTATTAACCAAATCGGAACTGATAACAACATGAATTTCAGGCTTGACAGTTCAAACTTTAAGAAAAATTTGAAAGAAAGGATGTTTTTTTGTAATGTAAAACAATATACTCGATATTGATTACGTTCTAATTTTCATCATGAGCTTATGTTATGGTTCCTCTTAAATTTTTGAATTCATTCAAATTTTTTGTCTCCTAATTCTTAAAAATGAATCTTAACTTAAGTAAATTATAAAACGTGAACACATTTGAGCACCTTTTTTCAACTGATTTCAATAAGGAGGACGTATTCAATTCGACTGTATGTTTTTTTATGTGTGTGACCTCATAACTTTTTTCTCGGTGAATCGATTTTGACGATTCTTTCTTTATTTAAAATCTTTAATAATTTATATTGAAGTCAGTTGCACAAAATTTTTAATTTTACCACTTGTTCTTTTATTATATATATATTTTTTTGTTTTTGATTTTTACATTTTTACAGTTTGATTTTAACTTTTTTTGAAACCATTTTTGTTTTATGTCCTGGCTAAATTTCAAATTTTTAATACTTCGTAAAGTAGTATTTTATCTCTGATTATAGCTAAAATACTAAGTATCTACTTCAGTATGAATTAAAAAAAACCTATAAATTTTATATTTTTTTATTTCTTATATTTTACAATATTGCCGTGTCGCTTAAAATCATTGTCTTATGTAATACAGAAGTCTAGCTTTCAGTTAAGTCTAAAACATTTTCATTACCTATCTCGACGGCGAAAATGAAGCCGCGAATCGATTCGACTTTGAAACAACAGCTATAAATCTTGAAAGTTGAAATAAAGACTGCCTCCGAGGAGAATAAAGGCTATTACATACAATTTTATTTAATACTTGTTAAGTTTTAATTTTTATATAATATTTATTATCAGCATTGTTAGTAACATGTAGTTGCGGAGAAAGAATATCCACTACCGTATATCGTCCCTTGGGTGTCGTAAGAGATGACAGAGGGAAACTGAAACAGGAGATGGGCAGCAGCATCTCCTTGATAACGACTCAAAATCATAAAAGACTGCGCTTGCCAACCCGCCTACCAAGTGTGGTAACTATGGCAAAATCCTCCCTATGAGGCAATCTACGGAGTAGGCCTATATTCAGCAGTGGAAATGGATGACAAAGTGTAGTTTCGCCTCGTTACTCTAGTGTTAGTCTAGCTACGTTAGTCTAGTGGTCATTAACGAGACTGCTGATTACAAGGTCCCGGGTTCATATCTCGGATCAGGCCAAAAAATCAGTTAATGAGATTTGCTGTAAAGTAATTCTCAGTAGCTGCCCGGAGTCAGGAATTTGGCGGTGTCTCACACCCCTGTACCTAGGAAAGTACGTAAAAACGTTAGGCCTGCGCCTGATCTCTCTCCGATCATGTCGGACTACCTACTTTTTCATTGAACATCGAGAGTAAGGGAATAGAGAGTGCACCTTTTTTTTATAGGATAGGGTGACAAACGCGCACACTGTCCACCTGATGTTAAGTGGTTGCTGTGGCCCATAGACATCTACATCTATCCTCGTTTGCAAATCAAAATGCAGATGCGTTGTCACCTGTGAGGACTAAGATGGAATGCCTCTTTTCCA